CTCATCGACTCGTGTGAATTACACGAGCACTTGCCAAGTGCTCGCGTAAATCACACGAGCATATAAGGTTGTGGGAAAAAAACGAAAAACTTACATTCGGGTCTAAGTTGTTTGGAGCCATCGCAAAAATTGTTGAATATCTGAAGTTTTTCACTTTGAATGTTGAGTTTTATATTTTATAGGATTGGGTAGGAATAGTACAAAAGGTAAATAGTTATGGTAAAAAGGTAAAAAATCATGGTAAAAAAGTGCCTGAATGTTTAATTTGGCCTGCGTATATCATTACCCATATATATAATAGGGGTTTTTGTGCATAAGTCCCTAACTAAGCATCTTTATTATTCTAGGTATAAGGACTATATCTCTTTCACCAATAAGCCCATCCTTTTAATATTTATTTTCAATTTTGACCACAAAAATTCAATTTTGACTTTTTTTTTCAAAAACTTTTTTTTTTCAAATTTTTTTTGCCGCCGAATTCCAGGGTTAATTTTTCGATTTTTTTTTCTTTTCTTCCGGATTTTTTCGCCGGTTTCCGGCGTTGACTTTTTTTAGTGTTTTTTTTTCTTTTTTTTTTTGTTTGTTTGTTTTTTTTTACGTTCGTCGCTAAACGTTGACCGTAATTGTGCTGTCACTGACAGTAAATTAACGTAATTATACTATCAATGATAGTTAATTAATGTAATTGTATTGTCGTTGACAATACATTTATGTAATTGTTCTGCCGTTGGCAGTAAATTAACGTAATATTATTATTTTTTTATTTTTTGTTATTTTTTTTAGTTTTTTACTTTTTTTTTTGATTTGTTGACAAGTCAACGTAATTATATTACTGTTGTTGACAGTAAAATAACTGTAAACACAATAATATTACCGTCGACAACATCAATATTATTATTTTTTTTGGTTTTTTGTTTTGATTGAGTTATCCACGGAGTAACGTAATAATATTACTGGCTATTATTGTAATATTACTGTGGTTGACGGTAATATTACTGTGGTTGACGGTAATATTACTGTTGTTATAGTAATATTGCTGTCAAGCATATCAATAGTATTAATTTATTTGGATTGTTTTGTTTGTTTGAGTTATTCACGGAGTAACGTAATAATATTACTGTCTATTATTGTAATATTATTGTGGTTGACGGTAATATATTGTTGTTATATATTACTGTCACTCACAGTAATATTACTTCTTTTGGTTTTTTATTATGTTTACATTTGTTGAACGGTCAACATAGTAATATTACTCTATTACACAATAATTAGTTTTGTTGTGTTAATATTACTGTGCTAGAGATTAATATAGCAATATTACTGTGTTAAACTGTAGTTTAGTTAATTTTATTGTGTTTAACAGTAATATATTCAATATTACTGTCAATCACAACAATATTGTTGTTTAAACGAAAAAAAAAGTTACAGAAAGAAAGAAAAGAAAAAGAAAAAAAATATAAAATAAAATAAATATTTGAAAAAGTCAACGCCGAAGACCGGCGTTGACAGCCGGAGACCGGCGTTGACAGCCGGAGACCGGCGAAAAAATCCGGAAGGAAAAAAAATCGAAAAAAAATATTTAAAAAAAAATATTTGGGTCAAAATTAAATAATTTGTGAAATTTGGGGTCAAATTGAGGTTAGATTAAGTTAAGGATAAAATTGGAGCATATTAAAGTATGAGGGGTTATTTTAGTCCTTTACAAAAATCTGGACCATGTATGGACTTATTAATAGAGAAGATTTTTATGTGAATCTCTTTGTGAATAAGTACCCATTGATGAGATTATTTGTAATGACCTCTATATAATAACGTGAAACTAAGCTACTAGGAAGCTTCACGCAACTAGTCTAATCAAATGTTTATCAAAGACCAATATCCAAACCGCTTCTAAAGAATCACTTTGAATATGATTTTATTAATTAAAAGTTTATGTTTTGTTACTATTAATAATTCATACATACAACCAACCCTCATTAGGAGAGTTGGTACCTAGCCTTTACCACTAGGGTAACGGTCTAGGGTTCGAGTCCCCCCCAACCCTATTTCCCCTTGTAATGGACTTGAATTTACTCAAAAAAAAAAAAAAAAAAAAAAAAAAATAATTCATACATACACATGACATAATGACATGCATGTGTTACATATAACAAGATTAATTAATTAAAATTTTTATGGGTGTATTTTTAACAATAAAGATTTATCATTAGATGTTTATAAGCATGAGTATTTTCAAGGGAAATTAGATGTTACACTTGATTATTTACATCGTGTATTTTAACTGTGGATTTAATATATCAAATAATCATTCACTAAGCACACATATACATAAATGTCTGTGATTATGTGTAGATTTACGATTAAAATACACCTAATATAAATAACCAGATGTAGCATCTAATTATCCGTGTTTGCAACGCGCCCCTTATTTATTATGACTCTATTTTTTACTCCCTAGAAAATACTTCAAAATTATTTAACTTATTTATTCTTAAATATTTTCTAGTTTCCATGTATACAAATAGAAGGGTATAGAAAACTCAGGAAATTAGATGTTGCACCTTGTTATCTACATTAGATAGATTTGAGCTGTAGATCTAGACATAATCACACACACCTACATGTGTGATTAGTGAATAATTGTTTAATAAATCTACCGTTTAAATTCATCCGACGTAAATAATCAAGTGTAGCATAAAATTCCCAGCAAACTCTATATAAAGCTCCTCATAAGCCGATGCATAAACATTATACACTACTTAGCTCTGTCTTCACTCTTCACACTACACAAACACTTGTAAAAAATTAATCACAATGTTAAAACTCAGCAGCATATTAATCTTGCTCTCTCTCTTGTATTTTCATCACACGTTTTCCACAGCAACAAAACCTTCCTCTAACACCAATCATACAAACACAGCTAACGATGATGACGTCACCAATTTCATCAAAGCCGAATGCCGAGCCGCCACTCTCTACCCATCTCTCTGCATCCAGTGTCTCTCTACTTACACCTCCACCACAACCCCGCTGAGCAGCCATAAGCAGCTGGCTCAAGCCGCTCTGTCGGTCAGCTTATCCAGGGCTCGATCCGCGGCTACCTTCATCTCCAAGGCGGCTCGGATTAGGGGCTTGAAGCCGATGGAGTACCGAGCCGTGAAAGACTGCGTGGAAAACATGGCTAGCACGGTGGAACAGCTGAGCCGAGCAGTGAAGGAGCTCGGCGGCTGGAGTGGGACCCACCACCAGGTGGACTTCAACTGGCACGAAAGCAACGTCGAGTCGTGGGTTGGGGCGGCCCTCACTTTTCAGAACACGTGCCTCGATGGATTTTCGAGCACCGTGATTGGTGGAAGTGTTGAGGTTGCTGTGAGGGTGAGGGTAATTGATTGTGCACAAGTCACCAGCAATGCTCTGGCGTTGGTCCATCGATATGCAGCCAAGCATAAATTAGTTAGTACTACTTCATCACAGAGTACTGTCAACACGCCTTAGGCGCGCACACATCCACGTGTGTGCGTGTGTGTTTGTGTATGTTGTCTTTTATGCGTTTTGTTCAATTTTGTATAAAAAAAAAAGTGTCGGCGTACTTTGTTGTAACTTGTAAATGACGAATGTAAATTATTTACTTGACTTTGTGTTGAGGCAAAATGTATGTATTCTTTGTTTTCAATATATTAATTATCCAAGTGTTACTCCATACTTTGTAATTGTTTCAACAAATTAAATCATAAATTTTTAACAATATTATTATTAGTATTTGATTGGTTTTGTTATTGGATCCATCTCAAGATTGGGATAAGAACAAAATTTACATGTCAAATAGCTAGTAACCCAAAATCAATATTTAATTAATGAAAGACATATAAATATAGTAAGTATACTACTAATAAGATGCCTCGACTTTGTGGTCAAGCACAGGTCAATGTTCCCCCACATTTTGCGGCTTATTTCCCCAATTTAATTAATAAATTAATAATATTTATTGTGGCAAAAATACCCTTAGTTCAACTAAATTAAATCCCCAAAAAATCTCTCTAACAAAACAAATCCCCAAACACATCTCTTCGAAATATTAACTAAATTAATTCATAAAAAATATACAATTGATTTTACAAACTCATACTCTAAATACGCCACCGCCATTGCCCCACCGCCTATGATTCCGGGACTTGCGACGCCTATGAATTCGTGAACTACAAATAGCAATTTTATATTATTTAATTGTAAACAACAAAATACCTATGATTTCGCCAATTACAAACATCAAACTGAAAAAAAAAAGTTTCGGAATTTGCATTATTGAATTGCAAATAAAAAATTACCTATGACTTCGCTAAATGCAAACAACAACCTGAAGAAAAATAAATCAGCAAAACTTGAATTATTGAATTGCAAGCAATAAACTACATATGGCTTCGCCAAATGCGTTCAAACTGGAAAAAAAAATCAGCATCACTAAAAAAATCAACAACAAAATTGTTTATGGAACACCTTGCAAACAGCAAAAACATTAAACAAAGTGTATGTAAAATGTAACTTAAGACATACCTTGCAAATTGTAAACCAGAGGAATCGAATATCGACGCCAAACACAATTCTTCAAACAACAAACGAAATTAAACCAACTGCAAATGGAAATTGCTAACAACAAACGATGGGAGGTTCTACATAGGGAAGACACAATGTGAATTTTGGCTAGGATTTTGGATTTCTGAACTTTTTTTTTTTAGGGAATATTTGTTGTCCTCTTTAATTCTTTCACCAAGAAATCATCTCATAATCTAAAAAGATCGTTGTTTTTTCCTTCTCTATAATATTTCTTTATTAAAAAAAAGAAAAAATAAAAAAATAAATAAAGAGAGAAGCAGAGAGAGAGATGCGTGAGAATTGAGATGCAAAAAGAGAGAGAGAGATGAGGAATTAAATATAGGGGGAGACTAACGTGAGATTGGAGAGAGATGATATATAAGATTTGTTTTTCTATTAATTGAGGGTATTTATGTCTATATATCAGTGCTCTAAAAATCGGCCGAGGTGGCCGATTAATCGGTCTCCGAGGCGGAGGCGGTCCAAAACCTTTACGATTTTAGTGTAAATGTTTGAAAAATTGGTTTTTTGCCTGTGAGGCGGTTTTAGGTGGTCTGAGGCGGTCCGAGGCGGTTTGAGGCGGTCAAACATTTAAGGCGGGTCAAACTCGGTGGCAAAAATCGGTTAAAAATCGGTTTTTTTTTTCTTTTTTTTTTTTCTTTTTATGATTCAAAATAAAAGTTGGATTTTAATAAAAGAAAATATGAGTTTATGCCTTATATTGTTTATGTTAATTGTTATTGTTAAAGAACTAATGATCTATGCCAAGAATGTTCAAGAATAAATGTAAATTCAAAAAAAATTGTTTTTTTATTTATATTTTATAAGGATATTTATGTAGTATGATGTAGTATGATCTTGTGATTATTAAACTTTTATAATGTTATTAGGATATATACATGATGGAGATATAACTATGTTTAAATATCTTTTTATATATGTTTAGAGTATTTATAAATAATATTTAGAAATATATTATATTAAATTTAAAAAACCGTTATTTCCGATTTATCACCGATTAATCACCGCCGCACTGATTAATCGTGAGTCGGTGCCTGACCGACTCGGACCCGATTACCGTTTTTTACAACCTTGCTATATACTAATTATTTTAATTTATTTATATTAATTTATTAGGTCAAATGACCTATGTCTATATTCATCTAACAACTAGTTCCAAAATAAGGGGTGTCTAGCAAATTTCCCCAATTTAATTCCTAACAACTTGTCGTTTTCAAGTTTGTTTATCTTTTGTTTTATTTTTTGTTTTTGGATAAGGAACATTAGAAACTTCAAATTAGTTCAAACAATTATATAGATGGATTGATTAAACTAATCATTTTCGTTGATCCATTTTATTAGAGCTTGCATATAGAGTATTAAGTTGGACCCAATTGGACCAAAATAAAGTTCAGAAGGGGTTTGCCTAAAATTTCTAGTTGAATAGAAACAAGAAAGGCTGCTCCCTTAATTCCAGGCTGCCTATAAAATAACTCTTAGCTTTAACAATACAAAAGATAGGAACAATATATATAAGAAGCCTTATTCTGCATCCCGATCCATTAGCTCCAATTTCTAATTTCAAGTCATTTTTCATACAAATAAATCAAACCACATACACATGATAATTAAGTAATATTTGAGAAATCAGAAAGTTGCATACAGAGAGTTTTATTAAGCTTGAAGGAAAATCAAAACGCAGAAGCGCTCATTTACGAGACAATCGAACAAACAACTTGATAAAAGACTCGCCCGACGCTGTCGGATACTTGGGACAATGCAGCAAATCAGAATCACGGGTTAACAAAATCTCTTCGTTTTCTTCATCTAAATATTTCAGTTTAAAACTTCCCATCTCCAACTTTAGTCTATTTGCCACTTCTTCCACAAGCTTCTCCATTCCCAATGGCCTTTACTATTACGGTATCATCCTTAATTGTCTGAACATTCAGGTGACTAAACCTGCTCTGATCAGTACTTGCTTGCGCCAAATTTTGGCGGTTGTTGCAAATATTCTTCTGCGGATATTTATCTGCTCTTTCTACCTCAAAGAGGGAAGGATTCTTTTTGTGGTTTTCGTTACATGGCCACCTATCGATGCCATACTCTCTGCAAGCGCGCTTTATTGTTGATATACTAACTGCATTATTACAAATCAATTTGGTTCTTGTTATATCAACTAAAATTCACATGATTTTCAAGTTGACGGAGAAATTTTAATCCTATAAAAGTATGTAATCATATAATTTATTGAAACTTGTTTTAAAGAAAAAAAAAATAAAAGGAAGTTTTGTTGACTGACCTCCGAGCTCCTTAGCGACATCTTTGAGCTTCGTCCCGAAATGTGGCTTCAGAGCCTCGAGTGTGAGATTTAGGCGGCCGGTTTTCTTCATCTTCTTTCCTCCCTTTATTTTATTTGAGTTGGCAGCCACACTGCTAATTAGATGTTCTGCATGTGAAGTACTTGCCACAGAATCCATGTCATCAACAACAATAATAGGCCTTTGTTGGTGTCCAGAATGTTGATGCTCTCTCCCACTATATGGGACAAATTTGAATTTATTTTGCCCGCCGTAGTTCATCCTCTCCGGAAAACACAGGAACTTCGATTGCTAGTTCGTCTCCTAATTGTTGGCCCGATGCAATCGTAAAGATTTTAAGGTACTTCTTCAGTATGGGTAGTAGGAAGTTCAAAAAGGACACTATATGTTCATTTTTTCCAGGACCTTGGTTTAGAAAGAACTCTAATACGTATACGAGGTTCCCAGTGTGTGTACTTTGCAAACAAATTGCAAAACAACTACCAATCCTCTCCTTTTGCAAATAATGTGCAAGGGGTTGCTCAACTATGCTAAAATGACATGAATTTCGAAAAAAACATGACTTATTTTTCGATGCTAATACCATCCCCGTAATCCCCTTCTTCGTGTGTATATGACTAAACTCAAGCATCTTCGGATAAATATGTTCTTCATAACCGAATTCTTCATATAATTCACGGTAATATAATTCATACATGACACGTGTTAATTCCATGCAGTTCAATCTATTATCTTTTTCAAATGCACATCGAGTGCAAGTGGCCCAAACCTCTGCCCTATGCAGTTGGGGAATCTTAACGACCACTTCAAGGGTTTCTTCTATTTCACGCAGTGCCCATTGTCGACTGTCACTAATCTAAATTTAATATATCAACATTGTTAAAAAGGGAGAAAAAAAAGAGAAAAAAAAAGTTTAAAAGCGAAGACGCATGATTTACATTGGTTTGCATATGGCTAGCTTGGAAGCTGACACTCAGGTTCGCTGCCTGCAGAGTATTGACATTGTTTTCACTTGAAAAGTGTAAGACAATGTGAGAAAGAGAGAGAGAGAGAAATATATCAGAGAGTACCTCTAATTCTTTTTGGATGTCTTCAAATGGAAAATAAGTAAATCCAACAAATTCTAGCACCCCAACACATTCATCCGGCTCGAGTAAATCAAATATAGGTAAAACAAAATATTCTCTGAGGTGACAACGCGCAGCATGATTCTTAAGTGGAAACTCTGTTGTAGAATAGAGGCGCATATCAGGGGTGAACTCGGAGCTACGACTTCTGAAAACACGTCCAAGGGGGCCCACCTGCTCGTCTTTTGCTCCCTCATCCACATAATAGACATGTTTCATTGACTTCTTTCTGAAAGAAGCTAAACCTTTTGCAAGATAACCAACGGCAAAAGGTTGATCAAAAGTTGTTATACAACACCTATTCTCCTCAAATTTGGGTGCCCAAAACTGCACTAAACTATAAGACATTCCTTGTATTATTCGGCTCATGAAATATGTTATTTTATCCTCGACTGATAAAATAACATGGGGCTGAAATGAATTTCTTCTCCAAAAAAACCCTCCTTCAATCTTTTGT